GCTGGTGGAATGACTGCCGCACCTCCTACACCTGCAAGAGCAACTGGCACAAGGGCTGGAACTGGACCTCAGGTGAGAGCCCGGGCGGGGCAGGGGGAGGGATTTGGAGGTGGAGGTGGGGGGTGTGGAACAGGTATATAGAGATTTGTGGTTGTGGGGCTGGTGGAGCAAGAGGTGGTTCTGGACCCAGTGGCTAAAGGTCTTCCATCCTCCCCTCAGGGTATAACCAGTGCCCTGTGAAAGCAGCCTGCCACCGCTTTGACTTCTACTTCCCCACACCTGCTGATCTGTGCAATGAAATCTGGAGTCACTCCTTCAAAGTGAGCAACTATGGCCGGGGCAGTGGCCGCTGCATCCAGATGTGGTTCGACTCCAACCAGGGCAACCCCAACGAGGAGGTGGCAAGATTCTATGCTGCTGAGACCAAGAATGATGTGCCTCCACCCCAGGGGATTGGGTCTTTCCTGCTCGATCTGACTCAAATGCTGCAACTCTGGCTCCGTAGCTGAGATGTTCCCATTGCTGATACCTGGACACCTTCCTTGCCTGCACCCAACCTGGGTGACCTCAGCTCAGCTTGGCTCAACTCTTTCAGATGAGGAGGACTCATAATATCCTGATCATTGGTTCCTGATCCTATGGGGATCCTGTAACAGCCTATACTAATAGACAGATCCATGTGTGTCCTGTGTCTTATAAATAATTTGGGGATGAGTAGGTTGGAGGGGGGACCTGCCTTATTGCATAATCACTGCTACTGAGAGGCCCAAAGAGGGACTGGGACCAGCTTGAAGTTCACCAGCAAGTAGGGAATGGAAGTTGATCCTTTAGCCTGGGGCTCTTGCTTCTGCACCAGCCTTTTTCCTCATGCCCCTGCCTATACCACAAGGGGACAAGCGGATTGGTAGACAGAAGCTGGGGAGAGATTGGCAGATGAGTTACCAGGCTCCTGAAGGCAAAGAAAGTGTCTTTCTCTTTCCTTCCCTTACTAGACGTGGGCTAGGATGGAGATATTGGTGAGAGGATCCTAGCGGGGAACATTTGTATTGTCTCCATTTTTTAAAGTGACAAATGATTCTGCAGTGAATAATCTTGTACGTAGTAGAATGCTATGGCATTGAATTCCAGAAGAGGCATTGCTGGGTTAAGGAGTATATGGATTTATCATTTTGATAGTTACAAGTTTATAGGGGGTGTATCAATGTGGCCCCCACCAGAAATGTCTGAGTGCCTGTTTCCCCATCGTCTGGTCAACATAGCATGGTCATACTTTTGATTTTCTGCTAAGCTGATTTTCTGCTAAACTGATAGGTGGGAAAGAGGACAGCATCTCGGTGTAGTTTTCACTTGCCATGTTTCTTTTCATGAGAACACAGTTTCCGTGATCTTTCCATATTGAACTACCGAGACCTAGTTCATTCTTTCTTCGTTGTTGGGCAATATTCCATTCTATGTACATTTAATTCAGTCACCTACTGATAGATATTTAAGGAAAGAGGGTTCTTTTATGGCCTCAACATTTTTGAAGAGCACAGGCCAGTTATTTTGTAGAACAACTCTCATTTTCGGTTTATCTGTTTCCTCATCAGATTGCGATTCTGCATTTAAATTATTTTTTAACTTTGGGGGGAAGGTAATTAGGCTTTTATTTATTTATTTTAATGGAGGCATTGAGGATTAAACCCAGGACCATATGCATGCTAAGCACATGCTCTACCACTGAACTATAACTTCCTCCCCGAGATTCTGCATTTTTGACAGGAATAGCCCAAAGCAATATGTTGTCCTCTTGGTGCATCATGATGAGGGGTACCTGGTGCTGGGTTTGCCCATTCCTGATGATTTAACTTACCTTTTGGTTGAGATTGGGTCTGCCATGTTTCTCCATCACTTCCCCCCACCCCTTTGTAATGAATAAGCATGCTGTAGGGAGATACTTTGAGAACTGCAGATATCCTATTCACCATCAAACTTTCAGCTTGGAGTTTCACTATCTGATGGACATTTTTTGAAAAGGAAAAACAAACACCAAAATGTCTTATTATGTGACAGTCCCTCATCAACCCTTTAATGTTTTTCCATGGTATCTGCTGGAAAAACCAAGCTTCTTCAGTGGCAGGGAACCCCCCTCTGCCACTTAGATATTATGTCAAATAATACCCCCTTCCCACCCTCATATATGAGCTCCATTCACACTTTTCACTTTGGGCTTTTATACCAACAATTCCCTCTCTGTGTTCCTGGAATGTTCTTTTATATTCTGAAGGCTGACTCCTTTTAGCCACTTAGATTTCAACCTACAATTAATTCCCTGCTAAAATGACTCCTGACCACCCAACCAAAAGAAATCACCCAGGCACTTTCTTATCATATCCCTCTAGTCCTCCTGTACAGATACTTAACTACTGTATTTACTGTCTAGCTTTTCCCTAACAAAACACACACACCTGAAAGCAGGGGCCATGTCTATGTTGTTTTGTGCCAGATCCCCTGGGCCTGGGTCAGTGCCTGGCACAGAGGAGGTGCTCAGGAAGTTAAGGAATCCATGCACCATTCTGTCAGTCAACAGATGCCTTCTGAGCACCCAATCTGCTGGTATAGACCAACTGGAAGGAAACTGAGTACCCCGCGCTGTCCCGTGAGGGCACACAGACCTGAGAACTAATAATTCTTAGAACAGTGAGCTCAGGGTTTGCTACAGGGAAGCACAGCATAGTTCTGTGAAAGCCTATAAGTTTTGGGAAGGCTTCCAGAGCATAATGGATGCCAAGCAGACTAGGTGGGAGGAACGGCATTCTATGGAGAGGGTTCAGTAAGTGCAAAGGCTTGGAGGTAACAGAAGTGTACGCAGAGCTTCTAGTGGCTAAGATAGAAGTTAAGAGGGCAAGGGCCGGAAATGAGGCCAGAGAAGGAACACTGCTTAGACTGATGACCGAGGCTCCCTAACAGTGCTCTCTTTTCTTTGTGAAATAAGACAGGCTTGAAATCAGACTCAGCTCTGAATCCTAGTTCCTCTTCGCTGCCTAGGAATGGCAATGTGAGGATGAGTGATAAGCAATTGCATATACCATGGGTTGGCACTCAGGAAAAGCCCCAGTTTCTCTCACCCCCACTCCCTGCAGCCCAGAGTCCCGACCCATGCAGGGCCAAAGACCTTCCTGTTACCTTTGGTCACAGGGCAGATTTCAGATTGTGGTTCACAAGGATGCCAATGGCTAACCTGACTGGTATTAAGCTTGCAGTCCCGGCAGATACTCTCAGATCAGCTCCATGGTGAATGCTTGACTCTACTGGCTAGACAGTCTGAGCACCAAAGCCTCAGATTCAGAGCCTGGCATGAGGCTCACCAAGGGCAGGCACTACTCATCGATCAGAATTCCACCTCTAATTTCCTTGCTGATCACTTCTTCTGAAGCCCTGAGGTCCCAGGGGCTTGACTCAGGGGCCAATACCACTCCTGCAGTGAGAGGAAGAGGCTAAGAAGTCCAGTTTATGATCAGCCCCTGACGCAAGAATGGAGGATAGGGGCAGGGGCAAGTTCCATCTTGAGGAACATCTAGAGGAATGCTCTTGGGCATTCCTAGACACCTGGTCATTCTTCTCCAATCAGGAGAAGGCTGAGCTGGTCTTGTAAAGCCAGGAGGGAGGTCTGGGGGTTGCAGCAGCCCTCCACCTGCTCAGGTCTTCAGAGGGCTTAACCTGCCCAGATCGTTACAGGATTCAGGTAAGGCTCACTTTGAGGGAGAGGGAAATAGGGCAGGAGCTGGGGGTCTCCTGGAAGTCAATTCCTTTGTAGGCCCTTTAGAGTGTTCCTTCTTGGCTGATTCTCCCCCAGTGATCTAGCTGCCTCCTCTGGTTCCTGGTCACTCTCCTGCTCCATGGGCCCTTGTGGAGCTTGCTGGCACTCTCTGGAGTCATAAACCCCCACACCTGGGCTCTCTATGTGCTTGGAGCCTACTGACAACTTAACCCTGACTTCCCACTGCAGGACCCTTTGCATACCTGCATTTCTGCAAGATATAAAATATCTTGATGTGTTTACTCTAACAAAACTCATCACCCCAGGAGACAGCCCCACAATACCCTAGGTGGATAGGCCTCACATCCTGCCCTTATAAAAGTCATAAAACCTATTGTTTAACCTATTGTTCAGAGAAGTCCCTGATAGATCTTACAGCCAATCAGGTACCTGTGCATGAACTGATCACACAGCCCCTACTCCTTGTGTGCACAGCACCCTCCCCCAATAAAAGACCCTGCATGCCCACCCCCGGTGCTCTTGCCTGTGTGACCTGCTGTTGCCTATAGCAGCATACCTATTAAACTTTCTTGAACTTTTATTGGTCTCTGGTAATTCTTTACCAACACACATGTCACTGTCACCATGTTGTGTGCCCACAACATTTGGTGGCCCATACGTGGCTTCCCTCTTTCAACTCTGCATTCTTTTCCTTGTCATACTTTCCTGCTGCTCCCTAGCATTCAGGAATTCCCCAGTCTTGCCGAGGATTGAGGAACCCTGGCTGAGCTACTCCCAGTGGGCTCTGAAACTCTGACAGAGGAGAATGACCCTTGGCTATCTGGTGGATGCACATGGGAAAAGTGCCTTTTCTTTTCTAATACCTCTACCACATATCCCGTCCCCGAGTCAGAGGGAATTTTGCATCTCGTCAGGGAAGGCCCACATAAGGACTGATAATCCCCTGCCTTGAGACACACAGGTCCCTGTTTCCTGGTTGGCCCCAGACGAATAATAGAATCAGATGGGTTCAGCGGGTAAAAGCGTTGAAAAGCCCTACCCACAAGCAGTACACTCCTACCCGGTACACACTCTCCTTTTCTCGCTCACTGTGGCCTCAGTCTCTAAGCCTGCCAGGTGCTCTTCCCCCGCCCCTCCCTCCCACACTGCCTCTGTGACCAGGACTGAGCCTCCCGGACTGAGCCTCCGATCGCCGCGCCACATACAAATCTTTGGCGGGTGAGTTCCTTAAAGACCCCCTTCTTTATTTTTCGGCCCCCTGTGCCGCCTTTTCAGCCCTTGCGCGGGTACATCCATTGCGCCGGTACAGCCATTGCGTCGTTAGTAACCTTTTTGCTGAGACAGCTTCCCTTTCTCAGGGGACGCCCTGAGTCAGGGAATGCTGGAAATTTGGTCATTCTCCTTCGGGGGTGCGGGGTTGAGGGGACGACAACCCCCGGAGTAGAGTCTGACTGCCCCTTGTGGCCGTTTTCCGATTGCTCCCTTGCAAGCCGTGTTTCCCTTGGTGGGTTTTTTGCCCCTTCGGGGGTGGTATATAATCGCCCCAAACGGGCGCTTTCTTCCTCTCTTTATCCCCTTATTTCGCTCCCCTATTCCCCGGGACTCACCCCTGGGTTGTATTGTTTAAAAACTGGCGTAAATTCAATTTCCAGTCATTAAAAAAAAAAAAAAGCAGTTTGTCTTTTTCTTTAACACCACGTGGCCACAATACCAACTCCCAGATCAGAAGGCTAGACCATCTAATGAAACTCTGCCTTTATGGCTCTCGAAATTCAGGGTTTGTACTGATCAGTCTGTGACTGACGTGCATGTGTGTATTTTATACTTTGTGTTCTGTCTCATGACTTGTGATTGTCATTCTGTCTTGGGAAGTGGGAAATTCTGATTCTGTTCCTGCATGGAGCCCCCGTGACAAATTCTAACTGGGCCTTTAAATGCAAATACAGTCCGCTATGCCTGAGACTTCAGCCTTGAGTTAATCAGCAAAACCTCAAACCAAAGAAAAAAGTGGTAAAAAGCCCTTTAAACTCAAGCAGGAAAACTAGGAGATCTCGGTCTATCTGAGTGTATGTATATTCATACACATTATCCATATGTGATGTCTCTACCTTTAAAATTGTTATCAAAATTAAATTTATCAAAGAGCTCTGTTTAATTGATTTAAAACTAAGCGCTTCCAAACTAAGTATTTCTAAAAAGCTAAACAAAGTAACGTTCAGGTTCACATGAACTCGGAAATACTCAGTATTAAATTAATACCTGGTATTAAAGTTAAAAAAAGTTTGCTAATTTAATTAATATCTATATGTCTTGAAAGTCATCAGTGTTAAGCATACTTCTGTTGTACCTAGGCTTAATAAAAGTCAAATAAGATCTTGTATTATCTGTTACAAATTTTTCAACAAAAAATAACTTGGCATAATAAAATTATAATTAAATTAAATACAAATGAGATAAGATACTAAAACACGAGCTACTAAACGTTGGCTTCCCTTATAGAGAAACAAAAGATACTTACAACTATTAATGCATATGTTTGGTGCCACCCTGAAACGTTCTCTATAAAAAAAGCACATGGTTTTTTAAATTATTGGTATTTATTTTTGCTCATCTTTAAAATGCTAATGTAGGACAATTCATAATTACCTAGTTTTCACTAGAAATTATGGCTTTCAAGGGTTAAAGTTACATAAAATTTAAAAAATGGAAGTTTTCTTAAATGTTAATTTAATTTAACAGATTGTAAAGGTTTTCTTTTTTTGCCTTCTAAGTAATCTGTTCTGTATTTGCCTTTAAAATATTTTGTTATTTTGGTTTAGTAAATAAGTATTGTTTCATGGTGACCTATAATTTTATCTGACCAGGTATTTAAAGACTTTTAACAAACTCCCCAAGTATCAAATTATAGTAAAGTTCTTTTGACCCATCCTAACCTTGGGATGCTTCAGAGGGCCCCTGAAATATTCCAAAGAAAACAGTAAGCTAATTAGGTTCATTTGATATGTTAAATTACATAGGAAGTACTGTCAACTATATAATAAATCTTCTTAGGTTAAAATGTATGGAAAAATCATATATAATTACTAAAAGTCTGGTATATATAAATGTTCCCAGTCATAATTCTGGTTATTGTAACGAGCTTTCTTTATTAACTACCATGTAACCAGGTGTTTAACCATGCTTCAAGTCCTATGTCATTCATAAACAGTTGTGTTTTTACTGTGATGCTTTTAAAAAATGTTTTCTCTTTAAAGGGTTTTTCAAAACAAAGACTTATTTGACAAGTACAGGTTTCTGATAACTTTTAAATCATTCTGCTAAACTGGGTAAAAATATAAAAGTCTGATTAAAAACTCTGATTACATAAAACTTAACGAAAAGGATTAATTACATGGGACTTACTAAACTGATAAATGGTTATAATTTTTATGATTTAAAAAAATTTTTATGGTTATAATTTTGGTTTTGTCAATCAATTAGTCTTAATTTGACTATATTTGATAAAATGTGGGCTATTAAAGAGAAAAGGACGTTTTAGTGGACATTAAACTCTATAGTTTTGTTAATTGAGGTCTATATTTACTAAGACTTCACTTCCCAGACATTCCTTGCCCTTAGGTTATAAGGAAGGGGGCAAGGCACAGCCAACAAAAAGCTGGCCTACCTCTGGGGTTTGTTACAGAGTTTAATTGAACTATTAAAAAAAAAAACCACTCTAGATTTCTTTCTGAAGCTCAGTAATCTAAACGTATTTCATGATCTTATACAGAGTTAAAGTTAATCCAATTGTTAGGTTTATGGTCAACTATCTAGTACTTCTGGATTATCTTGGTGGATTTCTTCACTCTAAGGGTCAAATTGGTAAGCCTTTAGGAAATTTATTCTAGAGAAATTATAGTTCTGTTCAGGCCCCTAGTAATATTACTAGGTGGGATTCCCTCACCTGGCCAATTAATACCTGCTCTAATCCTGGCCATAAATATGAATTTTCTTCTAAAGTTACTCAAGCTCAGTTAGAGCAGTAAGTCACAATTTAAAGCAGTTAACCAGATACATAGTTCCATAGGAGAGTTGTAATTATAATAGTGTAATTCTAGATATGGGAAGAAGCAAGAAGAGGGAATATTTTCCTGGACCACAACAGACTAGCAAGACAGGTGGTCCAGAGACATTTTGTTACTGTTAATAAGGCCTAGTCCCCTAATAGCACATCAAGTGCCTACCAATGAAATCCTTGCCTGACGCAGGAATGAGCATTCCTATCACCACGGGACAAAATGGTCATAAAATGCCTCCCAAGCCATGGTCAAAACTTGTGATCATGGGGGGACCTGCCAACTAAAATTGGCACTTACTATCTGCCTCTATAAGGATTAAGCCACAAGCCACTGCAGTCACTGACTGTCAATGTACCCTGGAAGGAGCTCAGGGTGGAAATAAAAAATGAGGCACTCTGTATTCTGGGAAAAACTGGCAAAAAAGGCCTTCAGATAGATGTTTCCAAGAAAAGATTACATGAACCCAAATTCTTGCATCTCCTTATATCTAGAAAAAGCACTAAAATCATTAACAGTGACATCTACTTTGACCATTAAGAAAAACTATCTTACAAAACCACATCTCTTAACATCTTAACAGCCTAAAAGTTGAGAGTTATGTCTTATTCGGCGGACATATCTGAGAACTCAAACCCCTTCGAGCCCGGGATGACAGCCTCTCAGATCACTCTGAGGGACTGCTCCAAAGAGGTAGGGGAGGAGCCAGGATATATAGGAGTTTTACAACAAAGACCAGGTAGTTGGAACATTAAAAAATTACTGTTAAAGAAAACTAGACATCTCAAGTTACAGAATTTAGCGCTTTTCTATGTATGGGAAGGAGCAAACGTCTGGGCTTATTGAAATCATTCCTTTGACAAGCACCTAGCTATCTGGGACCAGTATCCTGTCCTTTCACATTCTGAGTCCCCTGAGAGTACATCACTGTGGGTGGCTGCAGAGGCCAGGCTGCCTGCTTGTCTGTACCCTGAGCTCATGGGGGGTGGTGGCAGCAGCTGATGACTTGATGGCTTCAGCTTTCTTTGTTTACTGTACGGCTTGCAGTATATTTTGTTCACACATCCTTACAGCCTCCCAAGGAGACACATGCAGTTATATGTACTGAGTACTATACTTAAGTATTAGATAGGTATGTCAATGCTTACAGCAAAAAGGTTAACAAACAAGTTTCTAGCTGGTTCTCTAATATTTTTCCTTTTTTCTTGGATTCCAGAGGGAATAAGGTCCTTTTATACAGTCATTAAAAAATTTCTCCTCTCTGTCTTTTCGTTGGGATTGTCTATTTAACTTGGTATACGTTTATTTTATGTTGTATCCTTATGATGCAGGAAAAATGGTTGTGGGGCGTGAGGAGGGCCATGTCTCAGGTCTCAAGTGAGTCCCTGGGACATGTGTGGCCAAGTGTGGGTCCTTGGCTTTGTGCAGGAAAGAATTCAAGAGCGAGCCGCAGTTGAGTAAAGGTAGATTTATTTAGAGAGATACACACTGCATAGAGTGTAAAGCAAGAGAAAGGCCACAAGGTGTGGGGGCTGAGAGCTCAGGTTAAAGTAAATAGGTACACACTCCAGAGAGGGTGCGGGCCATCTCCGAAGACAGGAAGACAGGAGTAGTGTTGCCAGTTTTTATGGGCTCAGTAGCTTCACATGCCTACAAGTGGGAGGACTATTCCAACCACCCTGGGGAAGGGGCTGGGAATCCCAGGAATTGGGCCACCACCCACTCTTTGACCTTTCGTGGCTAGCCTTAGGACTGTCTTGGTGCCTGTGGGCATGTTATTTATCATGCTAATATGTTACAATGAGCACATAATGAAGCTAAAGTTCTACTAGAAGTCAAACCTCCTGCCATCAGAATCCTCAAAGCCTAGTGGGAGTTGAATCTTCCACCATTTTGGTGTTAATTGCTGTCATTCCTTGAATGGTTGTGTCCTGCCCCCTTCCCTCCTGTCTCACTTATCTTACAAAAAACGATCGTCTCTCTTTGAGGTCCAAGCTCCAAAGAAACAAAAACAGACATCCCCCGCCAGCCAGAAATGCCAGGGCCCTTACCATACTAACATGATGGTGATGCAGCCCTTGGATGTCAAAGGGGGTTACTTTCAGTCTGCCCCTTAGGCAGTCGGATTCCCGGGGAGCACCAGGCTGGCCCCACACCCCAGACAGATTGGCACAATAGATAGGGACAGTGTGATGTCTATATCCTACAGGAAGTGTTTCCAAAAGAAAATAAACTTTCACCCAGGTTCCAAAGATCTGAAACTGCCAATCTGTCAGGGGGAATGCGGAGCCAGCTGGCACTCTCTGGAGTCGTAAACCCCCACCCCTGGGCTCTCCGTGCGCCTGGAGCCTACTGACACCTTAACTTCCACTCCCCACTGCAAGACCCTTTGCGTACCTGCATTTCTGCAACGTATAAAACATCTTCTCTTGATGTGTTTACCTTAACAAAACTCATCACCCCAGGAGGTGGCCCATCTCACAATACTAGGCGACAGGCCTCACATCCTGCCCTTATCAAAGTTGTAAAACCTATTGTTCAGAGAAGTCCCTGACAGATCTTACAACCAATCAGGTACCTGTGCAGGAATTGATCATGCAGCCCCTACTCCTTGTGTGCACAGCCCCCTCCCCCCAATAAAAGACCCATCCTGGGTGCTCACACAGCCACCTCTTGCCTGTGTAGCCTGCTGTTACCTGTAGCAGTGTGTCTATTAAACTTTCCTAAACTCTCCTCGGTCTCTGGTCATTCTTTACCAACCTGAGTTACCAGCCCACCACGATGTGCCCACAACAGCCCAGAACCTGTGGTCTTTCCATGAATACTGAGTGTCCCACCATATTCCTCAAACTGCTGCTGCCTTCCATAGTCGGCGGCTCCCACAACTCGGACCCTCCCCCTGGGCTTTCACCTCTACGATCCCCTCCTCTGTTGTCACACACAGGCCCCTCAACAGATCAAAGCTCAACAAGCTCTCCTGCCTGAACTTGCCCCTTGCCTCTTCTCTTCCCCAACAGTGGTCACAGCCTGGTCTCAGGGTGAAAAAAGGCAGGCTTCTTTTCCTGGCTGGGGTAGGAGTGGTGGGAGGCACCTAAATTAGAGCAGACTCGGACACAGGAGAAATGATACTTGTGTGGCTGGGTGAGTGAGTAGGCGATAGGAAGGGAGCTGGGGCTTGGGACCAACCGAGGCTCCGGTCATCTGAACATTTGCAGTTTTACAGCTGGAGGTGGGCGATGCCTGCGGCTGATGAGGTTGAAGTCAGGGGCTCTATAAGTTAGGGATATGGGAGCTCCACACTCTACAGCTGCCAGGGAGCTCAGACGCCTGCGCTCCAGCCCTTGCCCTGCAATGAGCTCTGGCCTGATTCTCATTCTTCTCATCTGTGTTAACAGGATATAGATGTTCGGAGTGGGCCAGATTATGTTAAATGATCTCGGCAACTCAGGCTGCAAACTTTTCTCAGACGTGAGTTTGGGGGAGAAAATAGAGAAAGTGGGGCTTGGGGGCCGGCCTTAGGCTTGTGCTAATAATCCACCCCCTCCCGCCCACCACCCTCCCATGGAGGCCTGGCTGTGCCAAGTGCAGTAATTAACTCCTGGGTGGCCTTTGCCCTATCCAAAGCTCCCCTCCTGGGCCACATTCCCACTGCTCCGTCTCCTAGGCCACTAAACCCATTCTGTCCCCTAGAGTGAGGCAAGGTGGACTGGAGAGCAGAGCAGAAGCCTGAGCCAGACCGAGAGCCACCTTCTCTCCCAGGTATGCCACTCTCCAGCCTCTGTCAGAGGCAACACACCCTAAGGGCACTCCCAGTAAGTGTTAAAGGATATGACCTGGGAGGATCCAGGGCCTGGAGGCTGAGGATCCAGAAGTGGAGATTAGGACCTACCCAAGGCTAAACTGCAAGTTAGTGTCCATCCTTGAACCACAGCCCAGGACACAGTGCTTCAAGTGTGGGATGCTGGGGGTGAGGGGATGTGTGTGTGTATGTTGAGGGTGATGATTGGTGTTGGTGGTGGGGGTCACAGCTGGACCAAGATCTGAAGCTGAGCCTGGGAAGGTGGGGAGAGGCTCGCAGGGTGATGCAGGTGGTGCAGAACGGAAGAGAGCTCTGGCTCTAGAAAGCAGCCACAGCAAGAAACTCCCCAGATGACTGAGTGGGATCCAACAGGACCAAGGGAAAAAGGCTTTCTCAGCCCCTCAGTACTCCCCCATCACTCTGTGTCAGTTACTCCCCTGAGGGCCTCAGCACAGCGAAGGTTCAGGGGACCCAGCAGAAGGAGCTCTGGACTTGAGGGTCCTGAGTCAGACTTGGGTGACTCCTGCTGTGTGACTTGGGGCGCGCCCTCAACCCATGCCTAACTGATTCCTCAATCTGTGCCCAGCTGGCTAGCATTCTTTGGGGCCTTCCTCCCTATATTATTTAATCCTCGGGTGAGGAAACCAAGCCTTAAGACAATTTGTTATTTTCCCCCAGGGTCAAACAGGAGGGGGACTGTGAGAGCTGGTATCTGGACCCCTGTGCTCTATACTGCTAGACTTGGTTTCCCCAAAGGAGTCTAATCCTGAATCACCTGGCATTTCCAAGGGTACAGATTTGCTCTTGGAGATCAGTGAGTGACGGGGTCAATGGAGAGATGATTAGGTCCTGGGATGAATGAATTAGCAAATGAATAAATATTGGAATAAACTGTGGCAGCATATTGGATTGTGGAAGGGTGAGAGGGGATGAGGAGGAGAAGGAGGAAGAGAGCTAGGTGGGAATTTAAATCCAGGTTTCCCAAAGCCCTGCTGGGCAGTCAGTCTGGAGGCTGCCCAGCTCAGGCCCCATCCAGGAGACCCAGGCAAGATGATAGAGTTCTGTAGGAGGTGGGGGCAACGTGGAGGCGAGGCAACTTTGTGAGCAGGGGGGGACACAAAAGCTTTAGGAGCTGTGGGAAACAAATGCCAAGCATTTTAGGAGAGCCAGGCACCTGGTGACCAGTGGGATGAGAGAACAGGCACCTCCCAAAGTTCAGTATTGGAGGTCAGAGGACTGAGGTGTTATGAAGGCCAAAGGGAGGCCAGCTCTGTAGCAGGGGTTCAGGAGCCTCCCAAGGCCCCAGGGGTGGGCTGCTCAGCTGCCCACGCCCACCCCCAAGTCTTTGTGCCCTGTGACATCCCCCACCGGGTCACCGGGTGTCTGGGGGAGACCAAATGAGGAGGCTGGAAGCAGGGCTTTGTTTGTTTTTTAAACACAGGTCTGTATCTGGAGGTCCAAAACTAAGATACTGCTGTAAACTTTTGCACAAAGTCATCTGGTGTCAAAATCTGACCTGAAAATTAATATGAAGTTATTATAGTTTTTCTTTATCCCACCAGTGTAACTCTTTCCCCCTAAATTGTGTGCTTGATTGTTGAGTGCTTATAAACTTCATTATCTTATTTTGTATTACCTTGTATAAAATTGCCAACTAAAGAATGTCCTTGGCCACTTGGTTCTATAAGGATTAAGTCATTAGCTGCTGCAGTCGCTGATCTTTAACACACACTGAAAGAAACTCAGGGCAGAGATCAGGAATCAGGCAGTCTGCGCTCTGGGAAAATTGGCAGAACAGGCCTTCAGACAGATATTTTCAGGAAACAATGTTGTGAAACCAAATTCTTACATCTCCTCGTATATAGAAAAGCACGAAAACCACTAAGATATCTGTTCCCTGTGACCAGCAGCAACCTTCTACTGAGATGTGTGCTTGATGGCATGTCTTCCTTGGCCAAAATCACATACATACTGATCTCCCCCACAACCTCTTCGGAACAGCTTCTCAGAGCTGTTTCTTGGGCTCTAGTCCTCAATAAGACACTGAACAAACTCAACTCACTGCTCTCATGTTGTGTGGTTTGGTTTTGTTTTTTTCAAGTCAACAAAATCTTTTAAACTGAAATGTCCACCTCGGAGGATTCTGAACAAGGGATTGTGGACATATGGCAATCTCCTAGCTATTTCTGCATTTTGCCCAAACCCCATTCTTTAGGTGTATCATGTGATCCTCATGACCACCTAGAGAAGCCAGAGACCCCAGCCAGGGAAAGTCCCAGAAGGTGGCATCTGATCCCAACCCTTCCTGAAGACTGTGGTGTAGGGACTACCTACCCTAGGCTCCTCCCACCTAAGGCTTTTATTAACACCTTGAGGACCCACCTCTGCATTCTTGCATTCCTTTGCTGCTTTTGACCACAGCTCTTTCTTCAGGGACAAGCATGGCCCACATGATAACATGGCTGCTGCTTCTTTTGGTGTGGGTGGCTGCCGGATGGGCAGCCTGGCCCAGGACTGAGCTTCTCAATATCTGCATGAACGCCAAGCACCACAAGGAAAAGCCAGGCCCTGAGGACAAGCTACATGAGCAGGTGAGCCAAAAGGTGGTCTGCAGCGGGGAAGAGCTGCCTTGGGAAATGTCTACCCTCTCCTTGGTGGAGGCAGGGAGGCTACCTGAGCAGATCTTTGGTTTATACTGGTCAAGGCAACTCTGTCTAACACATACTGTGTGCCCAGTATTCTCAGGACAATGCCAGGAGCTCAGCTTCTTGGTGGCTGGGCTTCCATGTTACTGAAGTTAGGAAGCAGGTCCAGAGAAGAGCCTGGAGAAACCCGACCTGGAGGTTGATTTTGATTTCTGAGTTCAGATGGGGGCCAACCCTTCCAGGGATCTGAGAGGAGAAACCACACTGCATATGGCAGCTTCTTTTCTGCCAGCCTCAAACAGCTCATGAAAAGGGTATCTCCCTGTGAGGCTGACTGTGGGCAGATGTTTATGCTGGGGCTCTCAACCCTGTTGGACCTGAGGTCTCCTTCCTATGACAATTACTTTCCCACAATCCCTTCAATTTCCTGAGCCTACCTAAACATTTTTAAAAAGTCAGTATCATGCCATAACTGCAAAGAAAAAACCAAAAGGCAAGTCACTTGGAATATGCATTTCGATGTGTATATGTTTATTTTTAATCTCATCTGCAGATAGTATCACAGTCCTGTTTGTGCTTGTTTTGCATCACTGAGCCTGACAAGTGGTGGTATTACTTGGACATTTTGAGCAGCCTTGACTTTACCCTCTTCAGCCTATATATATTTTTAAAGTGCATACCTTAATATTGTGCTTTTATACCAATTCTAGGCAATGGGTTTTCATTCATTCAGTAAGACTGTATTGAGTGTTTCTGTAATTAGAACTGTTCTGGGGTTGCAGTTTATTTAACCTGCTTCCTCACCCCCAGGTCTTTGTCACCTTTTCAAAGAGGCTTAATCGGACTGTTCTAGAAAACTGCAATTCCCCATTCTTATCCTGCTTTATTTTTTTCCAAAGCAATTAGCCAGTGATAAGTTTTCATGGTTGTGTGTTCCCGGTTCCTAGAAAAATGCCTGGGTTAGAATAAGTAGGAGCTCAATCAAGATTTGAATTAATGAATGTTGTGATGACTGCATCTCCCAGGCGAGGGCTTCCTCCTGGGATCCCACAGTCTTGAAGAGCCTCTCTCCCCAAAGAGGGTCCCCCAGTAGCAAGTGTTTCCCTGAAGACTCATGTCGGGGATCAAGGACTAAAAGGGAAGAGGTTACGTGTGGGCATATTCTGGTTGCGCTGGGTGTTAATCCCTGTGTCTTCCCCACCCAGTGCAGTCCCTGGAGGAAGAAGGCCTGCTGCTCTGTCAACACCAGCCTGGAAGCCCATAAGGATATTTCCTACCTGTACAGATTCAACTGGGACCACTGTGGCAAGATGGAGCCCTCTTGCAAGCGCCACTTCATCCAGGACACCTGTCTCTACGAATGCTCACCCAATCTGGGGCCCTGGATCCAGGAGGTGTGGGCACTGTCCCCACAAACACAAACCTCAGCAGAGGGCAGGGCCCACTAGCCACTTGTAGGGAGGCTGTGGTCCAGGAATTCTGAAGCACCATCCCCTCCCCCAGCCCTGGTCCCCATCAGGGAGAAGCTGAGATCCCTGGCTGACTGGAGCCCTCCCTCCCCACCTCCCACTCAGGTGAACCAGAGTTGGCGCAAAGAGCGGATCCTGAATGTGCCCCTGTGCAAAGAGGACTGTGAGACCTGGTGGAATGACTGCCGCACCTCCTACACCTGCAAGAGCAACTGGCACAAGGGCTGGAACTGGAGCTCAGGTGAGAGCCCGGGCGGGGCAGGGGGAGGGATTTGGAGGTGGAGGTGGGGGGTGTGGAACAGGTATATAGAGATTTGTGGTTGTGGGGCAGGTGGAGCAAGAGGTGGTTCTGGACCCAGTGGCTAAAGGTCTTCCATCCTCCCCACAGGGTACAACCAGTGCCCAGCGGATGCTGTCTGCCACCGCTTTGACTTCTACTTCCCCACACCTGCTGATCTGTGCAATGAAATCTGGAGTCACTCCTACAAAGTGAGCAACTACAGCCGGGGCAGTGGTCGCTGCATCCAGATGTGGTTTGACCCTGCCAGTGGCAACCCCAATGAGGAGGTGGCGAGGTTCTATGCTGCTAAGGCCAAGAGTGGGGCTGGGTTCCATGAGGTCTGGCCTCTCCAGCTCGGCCTGGCCCTAATGCTGCTCTGGCTGCTGAGCTGAGCTCCTTTTATTTTCTGATAATCTGGACATCCCTGCCCTGTTCAGCCCCACAGCTCCCAGCTGGTCAGTTCCTGTTTCATGGTGGGGACTCCTACAGTTTGAATAAACCGGACATCCCAAGTGTCATGTAAATTACCTGCGTGTTCATAGAAATGTGACTATTGCTTCCCAGTACCCATTGATAAAGCTAGTTAGACTGGGTCAGTTCCCAGCTCTGATACTTGCTGTGAACTTGCCAGATAACTTAACTATTCATCTAACCTAGGACATATTCACAGCTCTCAATTTCATTTTTTCACTACAGCCCTAATCTAGAGCCAGCCTAGGATTTTATTATTTGAATTGGACCCAAGCCTCCCAGGGTTAACTGTTTGGTACTCAGCTCTCCCATAGAAGAGAGGGGAATGGGAGTGTCCAGCATGTTCTGGATGAATGGCTGGGAAGAGGTGAAGGGGGCCACAAGAGCTCCACTAACAGCTCCACTAACAGCTAATACCCACAAAGCTCTATCTGCTGGGCACTGTCCCAGATGCCTTACATTACTCCTGTAAGCTGTAGATACTGTTGTCTGCATTTTACATGTGTGGAAACAGGCATATAAATTAAGGAACAGAGTCGAAGCCATTTCTTGCATAAGAGCTGGGATTTCCCCCCCGGGCAATTTTGCTCTTAGGAACAAACTCTCCCCTTATAGAATGAATAAATATGTGTATCTTAAAAGGATAATGGACTCCAGGCCTGACCAGAGTAGCTGGGCTTGAGCTGGTCTGGCAGAGCTAGGCATGGAACCTAGACTCTAAAGCAAGTCCCAAAACAACAATTTGACAGGTTTTTATGCAATGTTCCTACATTAAGCATAATTTGTAGGAGTTGTTATAGGCTAGGTTATATTGCAGTAACACCCCTAATATCTCAGTGGCTTAACACAATGAACATTGATTTCTTGTTCAAGCTATAGTGCTTAATATGGGTTGTCAGGGGGATTCTGATTGTCACTTAGGGGCCCAGGCTGATAGAGGCTGCATCTGGTCATACACTTTCACAAGACAGGAATAGGGAACTTGGTGAATTCCACACAGGCTCTTAAAACTTCCACTCATCATTTATTTCATTGGCTAAATCTAGTCATGACCATGACTAATGTCAAAGAGGCCAGGAAAATACAATTCTAACATGTGCTTGGAAGGAGAGAGCGGTCAAGGTGTTTGTCAACAGACCCAAGACTGCTACAAAGGCCTTATTTTGTTCAGTTATATTTCTGGCATGGTTATTGTTACAAGCTTAATTTTTTCAGTTAGATCCTGGCAAGAAGGAGAACCAACTCTTTGAAGCTAGGCAAAGAACTATAACCACATGAAAAGTGCAGTAATTCACTGGTCACCCTCCTAGGCACTCTCGCCAACAAGGCCATTCGATGTGTCATATCCTCTATAGAACCAGTCACACTGTTTGTAAATATGACTTGTTTACAGATGGATTAGGGTTAGTGAAATTTAAGATTAGTACCATTTCAATCCAATATACCTTATCAAAGGCCTATTTCGCTATTTCTGAACCATTTATAAAAATATCTAAATCCTACTCTCCGTAGCTGTCATCCTCAAGTTCTGAGGAGTCATTAGCTGGAAGGTATACTAATAAATTTCCAAATTAGGATTTCCAAGAGCAGAAGTACTGGCAAAAGGACAGACATAGATTAATGGAACAGAATTGAGAGTCCAAAAATAAATCCTTATAATTAATTGATTTTTGACAAAGGTGCTAGGGCAATTCATTGAGGTAAAGATGATATGTTCAACAACTGCTTATCCACATGCAAAAAGATGAATTTAGACCTCAACTCATAAACAAAAATAACTCAAAATGGAACACAGACTTAAATGTAACAGCTGAACAATTTAAACTAGAAGAAAACAGGAAAATATCTTCCAGACCCTGTGTTAGGCAAAGATTTCTTTGATTAATGCTTCCACCAATCATTTCTTTCTATTTTGGACCAAAAACACAGTCTATCACTGAAAAAACTGATGAACTGGACATCATCAAAATTCAAAACTTTTGCACTTCAAAAGACATCAAAAATTAAAAGACAGGAAATAGCTAGGAGAAAATATTTGTAAAACACATATCTGATAAAGGGCTTGTATCCATAATATACAAAGAATACCTATAACTTAATAAGACAAACAACTAATCAAATAATGGGCAAAAGAAATGAACAGATATTTCATCAAAGAAGGTACATGAAAAATACTCAGCATCATTCATTAGTCATTAGGAAAAGGCAAATTAAAACTACAATGAGATGCCACTTCATACCCACTAGAATGGCTACAATAAATAAGACAGTCATTAACAGATGTTTGCAAAGATGTAGAGAAACTGGAACCCTCATATACTACTGATGGAAATGTAAAATAGTACCGTCATTTGGAAAACTGGCAGTTTCTCAAAAAGTGTCATACAGCCCATAAAAACATAAACTGTCATACAACAAACATAAAACTGTCACACAACCCATCAATTCTACTTCTAAGCATGTACTCAAGAGAAATGAAAACACATATCCACAATAAAGACTTGCACATGAATGTTCATAGCAGCTCCAAACTGAAAATAACCTAAATGTCCATCAACTGATGGGTAGGTAAACAAAATGTGTTGTATCCACACAATAGAATCCCATTCAGCAATAAAAACGGTGAACTATCGACACTTGCTATGTCATGGATGAACCTTAGCAACATTATGCAAAATGAAACATTATGCTAAGTGAAAGTTCTTTCGTATGAAAGGTCCAGAAAAGGCAAATTTACAGAAACAGAAAGTAGACTAGTGGTTGCCTGGGACTGGATTTGGGAACAGGGATTAACTACAAACGGGCATGAGGCAGGATAAAAATGTTCCAAAATTCATTTCTGGTGAGGTTGCACCACTCCACAAAATCACTGTAAACTTTAAATGGGTAAATTTTATGATATTTAAAATAAATGAAGAATACAAAATAAATAAATGAATGAATGATTGCCTAAAGGATACCCTCCCTTGCAATGGGAGCACACAGGGAATTTTATATGGTTCTGAATTTCTGTGGCATGTACCCATGAGGAGATGTATTCTAAGGAATTTAGCAACTGGCTGCATAAAAATCCACCATCTGAGCCAAACTCTTTTCCACCATGAACTCTGAGAGACTGGTTGGAACAACGTGGCAATTAAGGAGGGAGTCAGTTCTTGGTGTAGATGCAGACAATACCAATAGGAATGTTTAGAAGAGTGGCCCATTGACCAAGAATTTTTTTAGAGAGTGTTTATTTCAGTTGGCATAAGTATGGTCTACTAAATTGAGGGTTTGAGACCACAGCCAGGGGAAAGGAAAAGGGCTGCATCATATGACTAATCAAAAAAGAACATGAGGCAAATTACCAAAAATACCAACACAATAACCACCATCATATCGCCTTCATCAACTTCCCTAATTCTTTAAAAATTATTTCTTGTTACCTGCTTGTAGCTTAGCATCTCCCTCCATAGAAGTTTTCTGCTTTGTGGCTAGAATTTTTCTGGAAATCTCAAGTCCCAGGGCTTTGATAGGCTGAATCATCCAAGTGTTAGTTTATGATGGTGATGTCAGATCCATGAGTCTAATTTTCTGATCAGTCAATTATGGCAGGATCTTTAGGAAAACAAAAAGAGAGAATAGAAACCCTTTGGTGGTAGGACAAGAAGATCTGGTCAATGTATTAATTTCTAATATCAGAATAAAAGAGAGAAGAGTTTTCATTGGAATGTAATACAACAGAGCATGAACCTACTGTGGACTGCTGTATTTCACAGTGTCAGTTGATGGCTATTTTGAGGAGAACATATTATTAGAACCTCAGGAAGGAGAGGTAGACAAGGAGAGTTTGTCTTCCCAACAAACTTAACTTTGATAATTCTATTTTTCTCTCTATTCTGCGGGTGACAGGGACAGCGGATGTATTTAGAAATCTTGAGGGCCTTACAGTCTCTTTTGTAAGATGTACGTGAAAATTACTATCAATAATAAAAGGTTATTTAAAAATAAATAAAATCATCTTAGAAATAAATTTGTTGACAGTCATCATACAAACCCTTGCATGTGAAGATGGGTGTGATTTACTCATCTAGGAAAGTCCACAGTCACTAAACATTCACGGTCATAATCCTTTACCTTGTACGAAAATCATTTAGGAAAGATAAGTTTCTCTCTTTACTGCAACATCTTTCTCCATATTGTGAACACAATGAACAGGGCAACTCTTATAATACCGATAAGATGGATTTTAAAACATGGAGCATACCAATTATACTTAACTATTTTCAACATCCTTCCTTGTCTCCTTTTACTTGTAAGTGCCATGCTGTGAGGGAGCAAATATTTTATGTATTCTAGCAGCTGTCTGGGACATGACAAGATGATTTTGGTGTAAAATACACATTGATAGTTTTATTATTCTGAATTTAGGACCTCATCTTGGAGAAGGGAAACAGAAAAGAAAAAAGTGTTATCAGGAAATAGCCTCAGTCTTGGCTGTGTTATTAATAAGAAAACTATATTTTATTAAACAACTTTGTCACTAAGAATTTTAACTTCTCTAGAAATGAGGACTTATTGTTTTATGTTATAGCATGACCCGGAGCATGATGCGAGTCAGCACAAACCCCACAAAATTAATGTGCTTTTTGAGAAGTGAACGTTCACATTCAGGTTGATAAGGACCTAAACTTTGCTGTAAGGGCAAAACACACAGTAAACAAAAAATAACTTTTATTTCTTCATGTTAACAGCAGACTGTATACTCAAAGACCATTTCACTTACAGGTGACCCATATTATTTAAAACTTTATACTTAAAACAGAAATAATCTGAAGAAGCACTTCCAGAATGAGAGAGTAAGGACCTCTGAAAATCCACTCCTCCATAAAAGCAATAACACTGGCAAAACTTGTCAAAACCAACTTTTCCAGAAGTCTGGAAATTAACCAAAGCTTTTAAAACTCTAAGGAGATTTTATTCAAGAAAATGGCTGAATCTTACAGTAGAACAGTGAGTTCTGTGGCATTTTTACTTGCTTTTTCCCATCTTCCTCTCCCCAACAGTAGTCTCCAGAATCAGCAGTCTCACAAATACAATAGCTACGAAAACCAGTGGCCTCGCTGCCACTAGAGGGGGCAGAGTGGGTGTAGAGCTCCCTCAAAAGCCCTGTCCCTACAGAACTGTCACTACTTGATCTATCTGGAAGCCTCTGTTAAAAGCTCCTCACAGAGCTAATCTGATTCAGAGCTCACACAGTGAGAAACCCCATTCCTAGGTTTTTGTCTAAACAATCAGCAGCAAATTAGACATCTCAGCTCCCTAAGGCAGAAACACCAGTTGAGGCAAACAAAAGACTGGACAAAAAACTTAAAAGGAGTGGGGAGGGTATAGCTCAAGTGGTAGAGTGCATTCTCAGCAAACACAAGGTCCTGGGTTCAATCCCTAGTACCTCCTCCAAAAATAACCCCTAACTACCTCCCTCCCCCACAAACAAACAAACAAAACTTTAAAGGAATACTGGGGAATGAGATGTCATTAGAGAGCTTTGAAAAGCTCTGACATCCACCTGGGGACCTTGAAGTTCATGTGCATTTGCAGAATTGTGAGTATATCCAGGAAATACCTGAGAAGGCCCCAATCTCTCACCTCTGGTGACTGGAGGCCCTCTTCAGCAGGAAGTGAGGAATAAGGCAGAGTAAACTGCTAGAGCATTTGATGGCTTGCCTGAACCAACATACAGAGTCCCTTAGCAAAAAGTAGGAGACTTAACTGCTTCCAGGCATCTAAGGAGGTTGCTGTCCAATCATTAGCTGACCACTAAGCAACCAGGCAGAAACTTCAGTGACCACACATGCCAAAGAAAATAGACTTTATAGAATTAGTCCACAAAAGCTGATAAACAAATAAACAGCAACAACAAGCTCTCATTGGAGAGTGATGATTTCTGGACTTGCCACACTGTATTATTTAAAACATCCAGTTTTCACATGATCATCTCAACTGATGCAGAAACATCATTTAACAAAATCCAAAATCCTTTTATTATGAAAACAAAATAGAACACTGAACAAACTAGCAATAGGAGGGAATTGCCCTAATGTGATAAAGGACATCTGTGAAAAACTAACAGCTAACATCCTATTCAATGGCAAAAGGCTTTCCCTCTAAGATCAGCCATAAGACAAGGATAGCCACTCTCATCATGTCTATTCAATGCTGTACAGAGGGTGTAGGTAGGGCTACTGGTGCAGAAAAAGAAACAAAACCTATACAGATTGGAAAGCAAGAAGTAAAACTATTTCTATTCACAGATATGACACTCTATACAGAAAATCCTAAGGAATCCTCAAAAACACGATTATTACTAATAAGTGAGTTCAGCCAGCTTGTAGGATACCAGGTCAATAAACAAAAAACAATTGTATTTCTATACACTAGCAATGAACAAAACAAAAATGAATTTAAGAATACAATTCCCCTTCACAATAGCCTGAAAAAGAATAAAATATATAGAAAAAAAAAAAACCCCAACAAATGAAGTAAAAGACTTGTAGACCGAAAATTACAAAACACTGTTGAAATTCGAAAACTAAATAAACGGAAAGAAATTCCATGTTCATCAATCAGAAGACTTAACATTGTTAAGAGTACAATACTCCCCAACTGATCTGCAGAGTCAACTCAGTCCTTATCAAAATCCCAGCTGGCTTTTTGGAGAAACTGACAACCTGATCTTAAAATCCGTAAGGACATGAAAGAGATCCACAATAGCCAAAACAATCTTAAAAAAGTACAAAATTGGAGGAGTCACACTTCCTGATCTCAAAACTCACTACAAAGCTATAATAATTAAGACAGTGTAGTAGTAGCATAAGGATAGATATACAGATCAATAGAATAGAACCAAGAGTCCAGATTCAAGGATGCCAAGACAATGCAATGGAGGAAAGAATAGTCATATTTCCCGAAATATGGCGCTGGGACACAACTGGATATTCACCTGCAAAATAATAAAGTTGGGCCCTTATTTTACACCATACACAAAAATTCACTCAAAAGGGATTAAAGACCTAAATGTGAGAGGTAAAACTATAAAATTCCTTAAGAAAACATATGGGAAGAGCTTCATAACATTATGTTAGGCAATGATTTACTGGCTATGACAGCAAAAGCAAGACAACAAAAGAAAAAAATTGACAAATTAGACTATACCAACATTTAAAACATCTGTGCAGCAAAAGACAATTAACCAAGTGAAAAGGCAACATACAGAATGGGAGAAAATATTTGCAAATCATATATCTGATAAGGGGTTAATCCAGAATATATAAAGAACTCCTACAATTCAACAACAAAGAAAAGTATAACCCAATTTAAAAGTGGGCAAATAACTTGAATAGACATTTCTCCAAAGAAGATGTACAGATGACCAACAAGCATATGAAAAGAAGCTCAACATCATTAATCATTAGGGAAATGCAAATCAAAACCACAATGACATACCACCAACATTATGATGGCTACTATTAAAAAAAAAACAGAAAATAACATGTTGGCAAGGATGTAGAGAAACTGGAATCCTTGTACACTGTTGGTGGGAATGTAAAATTGTGGAGCCATTATGGAAAACAGTATGACAGTTCCTCAAAAATTAAAAATAGAATTACCATATGATCCAGCTATTCCACTTCTGATTATGTACCCAAAATAATGGAAAGCAGGGTCCCAGAGAGGTATTTGTACACTTGTGTTCAAAGTAGCATTCTTCACAATGGCCAAAAGGTAGAAGCAACCCAGATGTCCATGGATAGATGAGTGGATAAATAAAATGTGGTACATACATACAATGGAATATTATTCAGCTATAAAAAGGAATGAAATTCTGACACATGGATGAACCTTGAGGACATTATGCTAAGTGAAATAAGCCAGTTACAAAAGGACAAATGTTGTATAATCCCAATTATATGAGGTATCTAGAGTAGTCAAATTCATAGAGACAGAAAGTTGAATGGCGGTTGCCAGGGACTGAAGGGCAGGAGGAAATGGGGAGTTAGTCATTAATGGAAATACAGTTTCAGTTCTACAAGATGAAAATATCCTGGAGATCTGTTGTGCAACACAAATATACTTAACATTACTGAACTGTACACTTAAAATCATTAAGACAGTAAATTTTATCAAGTGTGTATTTTACCACAATTTTTTAAAGGCTAAAAAATTGCTAAGTTATGTTTACAGAAATGCTAGATGATGAGATATTATCATTTACCAGATTTGAGACAATTTCTCTCCATGACTGTTGTCTTCTGCACCTCAACTTCTACCTGTTTCCACCTGGCTGCTCATAAACTAATCCGATAGCTGCCATTTAAGCCTACTCAAGCAAACTGAATGTCCATCAACAGATGAATGGATAAAGAAAATGTGAGATACTCACACACAACAGGGAATATTAGCCATAAAAAAGAATGAAATAATGGCATTTGCAGCAATATGGGTGGACCTAGAGATTATCATACTAAGTGAAGTCAGGCAGAGAAAGACAAATATTATAACACTTTAATGTGGAATCTAAAAAAAATACAGATCAACTTATTTACAAAACAGAAACAGATTCACAGACATAGAAAAGAAACTTATGGTTACCAGGGGGAAAGGAAGGGGAGGAATAAATTAGGAGTATGGGATTACCAGATATATATATTCCACCATATATAAACTAGATAAATAAAAAGGATTTACTGTATAGCACAGGGAACTACATTCAACATCTTGTATAACCTATAATAGAAGAGAATCTGAAGCTGTAAACCTGAAACTAAAACAATATTATAAATCAACTATAGTCAAATAAAAATTTTTAAAAAGCCTACTCAGTATATTCCAGGCTTTTCCACATATAATTCTCAACAGTTTTCTCGTGAGCAAACTGAAGCTGAGATTCAGTGATATCTCCCAGGGCTGTAGGAGGGGTGGAGCTATCACTAGGTCTTATGACCTGGCCCCAGAGCCTGGATTCTTCCTCATTAGGTCTCATTCCTCTCAAGTTAGTATTACCCTAACAACCATGTGGGGTCAAAAATTCAGATCCTTTTTGGAGATGAGCAATCATCTAGATGAATGTTGAATGTGTGGACCCTGGAATGAGTAAATTAATATATAAAGAGACGAATGCAAACAGGAATGGATCACTTGAAAGACTAAAGGAACCTTGAAGAGGGTGGGATCTGGAAAGAAGGAAGAGCAGGAGAAGAGCTGAAAGAGGAAATTATATTTATGCTTACCAGTGCTCTTAGTCAGTCTGCCCTGTGCTGAGGACAGAGACCATTGGGGACAGTCCAGGGGCCTGGAGCCATTGCCAGCTCGGAGAGGCCAGTCCAGACAGAGCTGTGTGTGTGCCCAGCAGCAAAGAAGGCACAGGCAAGGTGCCCTAAGGAGGGAAGGGTGACAGGGCACTGGGGAGACTTGGCGGGTTGGCGCATAGGGGAGGGGCACAGCTTTCTTTAGAAAGCTCACTCTGGCTCCTGTGGGGAAGGTGACTTGAAGGGGAAGAAACTGGAAGAGGGAAGACCTTACCCCAAACACCAAGTCAAAGGAAGTAAACTCCAGAAAGGTTTTAAGGGGTACCCTTGCCAGGGCTTGGTTATCAACTGCATGTGGGGATGGTGAGGGAGAAGAAATCTCCATTATAAGCTCTTAGGTACCTCAGTGACGGAGCCTAAAGGAACAGGTCTGTAATGAGTGGCTGGAAGGTGAGGGCAGTCATGAACAGAGAAGGGGACCGTCACTTTTGCCAGGGGGCCTCCGACAACTCTAAGTGCTTGTCAGATTAGCAGCTCCAATGTGGGGGACTTTTATGTTGTCTCTCAGGTCCTAGGGTCCTACATTTGTTTTTTAAAGCATTAGGTAGGGACCTGGTGCATTTGCCCAGAAAGAGCTGAGGAGGCCAGCATCACGATGCAGGGCAAGAGGAAACAAACAACTTTCAGAGAACAGGGAAGGAAAAAACCTGAGAAAGCAAAGCTGTTTAAAAACCACCCTTGTCATTTCTGGATCATTTAGCCAAACACCATCCTGTCTGTTACCTCACCTGATCCTCATGCTGATCCGGGGGACTCAGCAGAGCTAGGTCACAGCCACCCCTAGGTTAACAGTGTTTCTGAGCTGGCACGGGAAACTGGGTGACCCAGGGTGTAAAGGCAGAGCACTTGCTGGACACAGGATGAGGGTGCTGTGTCCTTGGCCCTTTTCATACTTAACTACTTTTCTTAGATCAAGTCCAGAGAGAAGGTTAGGGCATAAGGCCTCTCCTTCCACTTGGGAAGATTTCTCCAGGGCCCAACCCCTGTTCCCAGATTCCCTTCTGAGCCCTCCAAGCCTGGACTGAGGGAGCCCCTCGTTCTACCAATCTTCTCTACTTCAGCCTCAAGGAGCCTCAGGACCCCAGCACTGAAGGAACAGGGTCTGATCCCCTCCTTCACTATGGAGTCGGGGAGACCAAGGCAGGAACTGAAGGGGGCACCCTGCATGGGGCTCTCTCCCCTCAGGCCTTGGCCTCCCTAATCACAGCTGCCTCTGCAGAAAGAGAAAGACATGCCCTGGAAATTGACACCACTTGTGCTGTTTCTGGCCTGGATGGCCTCCATGTGCAGCGCCCGGACCAGGACAGATCTGCTCAATGTCTGCATGGACGCCAAGCACCACAAGGTAAAGCCAGGCCCTGAGGACAAGCTGCATGACCAGGTGAGGACGGAGGGTGGCTCCTGTTGGGGATGGGGCTTGTTCAGACAGGAAGAGGGAGTCAGGGTGGTGGGGGAGGGGCTCAGGGGATCCTAGAGGTGGCCTGTTCAGAAAAAGATATCCTGTCGGCAGTAATTGGAATAATCATTCATTGAACACCTACTAGGTGTCGTGTATTTTTCTGTGCCTGATTCCATATTCCAGGGGTCCTGTGATGTGGGTAGATGATGTTCTCCTCCACATGCCACAAACAAGGGAACTGAGGCCCAGAGAAGCACAGTGACACACAGAGGAATAGAACAGGACTCACTCTTGTGGTGGGGTAGGGGTAGTACTGGGGTGGGCACCTCTAGGGGTACAAAGGTGAAAGACTATGGGGGAGGTTTGGCTCTTCCTACCTTTACTATGTGCCAGTTCTATGGAATGCAGAGTACAGAGGAGGAGAAGGCCCTTTATGACTGTGATACAGGCCATAGCTGCTGCACGTACACACAACCTTGAAAATATGTCAGCTGTTTGTGGCCTTTCTAGACTCCATGTCTCTTTTTTATGATTTAGACTCTCTTTTCTATCCTGGAATGAAATTCAAAGCTAACAGAACTCATCTGCACATTTAATTTAGAAGGTAACAACATAACTCTATCGGTAACACAAAGCAAAAAGAAAGTAATTTATATTTATATATTTCAATAGGTCAATGCACTGGTGTGACTACATTAGAAGTCATTACAAAATAGCACATTTACTTTTTTTTCCCCTAAAAATCACTATGAATGGAGCAGCTACAGTAAAGATTGAGACAGATGTGTTCTATTGGCAACTTCAATACTTTAAGATACTCCAAGCAGTGTTTCTACCAGTGACAATGTTTTCTAAAGTAGCAAATAACTCCAGTAAAACAAATCAGAGAGTATAGCCTTCCTATTGTATTTGCAGTCCTGGAAGATCTGGTCAATATAAAAAACTTGCTAAAATTTGGTGTGTGTATATGTAAGATGGAGTTAGGTTTAGATTTCGGAAAACATAAGTAAGTCTTTCATTTACTTTCTCAGCAAATATTTTTGTGGGCCTGCTCTGTGTCTGGCAGTGGCCTAGCTACTGGGGATACAGATCTTAAGAATCTTAATACTTGCTGAGAATAAAGTTATTCAACATATATTACAGCATAGCGTGTTCCATTTCCTCCTTTGCTCACTTTCCACCTTCCAGTGAGGCTTTTCACAATCACCCTATTTTTTTTTCTGATACTGTCACATATTTTTATTTAAGTATAGTCAGTTTATAATGTTGTGTCACTTTCTGGTGTACAGCACAATACTTCAGTCATATAGGAACATACCTATATTTGTTCTCATATTCTTTTTCACCGTAAGTTACCACAAGATATTGAATATGGTTCCCTGCGCTAGACAGTATGAACTTGTTGTTTATCTATACAACCACTCTATTTAAAATTTCAACAATCATCCCAAACTCCATAGTCCCATTCCTTGCTGTAATCTTCTCCACATAACTGATCAGACCTTGACCAATGGCATTTTTTTTTCTCTTTTAATTTCTTACTGTCTCCCCTGACCTGAACACACATATCTGCTTTGTTCTCTGCTGTATTCCCAGCATGTAGAATAGTAACTGGCATAAAATAAGGAATTATTTTTTAGTGAGTTAATTACCTTTTATAAAGTGTTAAGCACTGTATAAATGATAGCTATTGTCCCCGAAGTCAGGGTCTCTCCCAGGCTCTCACAACCCAACCGCCTCAACAGACTGTTGTAACTGAGTCTCCCCCAAGATGGGAGTTCTTGGAGGCCAAGTTCAGGGGGGCCCTCATAGTGAGTGTTTCTAGGACAACGTACCTGGGGAAGGAGAGCAAGAAGCAACTGTGGAGAGGCTGGAGGTGGCAAAGGCTGTGGTGGGGGAAATTCTTAGTCTCGGGTCTTCCCCACCCAGTGCATTCCCTGGAAGAAGAACGCCTGCTGCACTGCCAGCGTCAGCCAGGAGCTGCACAAGGACATCTCCCTCCTGTATAACTTTAACCTGGACCACTGTGGCAAGATGGAGCCCACCTGCAAGCGCCACTTCATCCAGGACAACTGTCTCTACGAGTGCTCACCCAATCTGGGGCCCTGGATCCAGGAGGTACTGGTGTCTTCTTCACCCTACCCTAGCACGATGCCCTCCAACTCAGTCATGGCTGTTCCTGCCAATATCCCTGGCTGATTGGAGCCCCTCCACCTGCACCACCCACCCAGGTGAACCAGAGTTGGCGCAAAGAACGGTTCCTGAATGTGCCCCTGTGCAAAGAGGACTGTGAGAGCTGGTGGGAAGACTGCCGCACCTCCTATACATGCAAGACCAACTGGCAGAAGGGCTGGAACTGGACTTCAGGTGAGGGCCTGGGCGGGGCCATGGAGGTGTGGTTGGAGAAAGGGGGTTTGAGGATTGAGGGTGGGGAAAAGATTTCTAGAGGTGGCCAGAGATGAACTCTGGGCTCAGGGGCTGAATGTCAGTGCCCACCCTCTCTCCCTCGTAGGATCTAACAGGTGTCCAGCAGGGGCCACCTGCAGCACATTTGAGTCCTACTTCCCCACGCCTACAGCCCTGTGTGAGGGTGTCTGGAGTCACTCTTACAAGGTCAGCAACTATAGCCGGGGCAGCGGCCGCTGCATCCAGATGTGGTTTGATACAGCCCAGGGCAACCCCAATGAGGAGGTGGCGAGGTTCTATGCTTTGGACATGAATGCTGGGGCCATGCCCCAGGGGATTGGGCCTTGTCTTCTCAGCCTGGCTCTGATGCTGTCTCTGGCTCCTTGACTGAGTCCAGCCCTCCCCAGATGGTCCCCTCTGCCTGTCCCCAGCTTTGCTGGCCAGGCTGGGCTCAGCTATGCTTCCACAAATGAGGGAGCCATAAGTATGCCTTCATCCATTTACCCATCCCCCTGTCATCCAGTTCCTGCTCCATGGTGGGGCTTGGGGTTTCTGTGACAGCCAGTTCTAATAAATAAGTCAACACATTCGTATCTGATGAATTACTTTAGTTGTGAGTTTGTGGACCGAAGAGGACAGATTCCATAGCCTTTGGATTCCTTCAGATTAGAGAATTGAAACCTGGGTTTGAATCTCAGCTCTGCTACTCACTATGTTAAAGTGAAACAGTTGCTTAACTGCTTTAGAGGAAACCTTGGTTTCCTCCTCAGTAAAATGGAGATCATAATCCTTGTGAAATATTGCCTACAAAGCACGTGAGCCCAGTGCCTGAACATTAATAGTCCTTAGGGATCCTGTTGCTCTTGTAGCCTGAAATGAGAGCCAAGTCCAGGACTTCACTATTTATATTGGGTCCCAAATACCCCTCCTTTCCCTCAGGCCTTGTCTGCCTGGCTCTGTGCTCAGCTTTGCCGCTATGGGAAAGCTGGGCATGGGAGTCCAGGCGGGTGAAAACAAATTCACACATGATGTGGACTGAAGGGGCAGAGCTGGGGATTGGGAGCCTCAGGGGAGGAAGAGAGCCTACTTAGGAGCGCAGTCTGTGAGGTCCCTGGGGAGGAAATGTTTTAGAGCCTTGCACCGGTTCACCCCGATGTGTCCTGGAGGCGGGGCTGAAAGAGGAGTGGAAAACTCTCAGGGGCTTCCCAGAGGCAGGAGCTTCTTCTCCAACACCTTTGTCCCCTCCTGGAGGGCTGCTCTGTCGCTGCACAGCCCCCAGGAACCGGGCCTGAGTTTATCTCTAGGCCTCCCGCTTCCCCTTCTCCCTTGGGGAGGTCTTTTTCTCCACATCCCAACCACAGTTCTCCTCAGAGAGGCGCAGATACCTGTGTGAAAACGGCAGGCAGGTAGGTGGGTGTTCAAGCTAGGACGAGAACCCAGGGGTGAAGACTCGGAGTCCAGGTCTCTCGCGCTGCACCAGAGTGCTTCCCTCATACCAGAGATGACTGAGGGGCAAGTCTGGTACAGTTTGGAGGGCGAGTTATTGGGTTCCTGGAGGGGTCTTGAGACACTGTTGAGCGTGTGCGCGGCTCTCAGTCGTTATACTTATCCAGTCTGGAAGGCCCCACAGAGCCCCCTCCCCGTCCCAGGCTTTGCTCCAGCTGAGGGAAACCAATGCGCATTTGAAACAGAGGAAGGTGCTCTTCGGTACCGACCCAGACACAGGTTCTACTCAGCAAAGTTAAAGTTCTCTCCCAGGTTAAAGGGGATCCTCCCACAGCGGCCTTAGAGTTGACAGCCGTGAGACTGTGTGTGGAGACCTGCGCCTTTAAGGAGCCAGGCGGCGGAGGGGCGGGGCAGGAAGCGGACTCCCCGGAGACGCCGCCACCGGCTAGGTCTTTTTTTGGGAAGGGGCGGGCCAGACCCTCCTAAGGGCCCCGGGCCAGACCCTCCTAAGGGCCCCGCCCCCTACCCCTCGGCCTGGGGGCCCTCCTGTTCTTAACTCTAGAGGAAGGGGCCTGAGGCTTCTAAGCGTGCCGGATCTACGGAGCGCCGGGCTCCCCGTCCCGCCCACAAAAGCTCAAGTTTGTTGACTTGTAGGGAGTAGCTGGGGCGGAGGCGGGTGCTAATAATACCCATTCGTTCCGCCGCCGCGCTTTACAGTTTACACAGCTGTCACCTTCGTTACTCCTTAATTAATAATAAAAATAGCCGCCGTTCGGGAGCGCCCACTGGATGCCAGGCCCCGTGCCGAGAGCTTTATAAGCACAGTCCCATTAAGTCTGCCCTCATAACGTTATCCCCATCTTACAGAGCAGGAAGGCGAGGCTGGGAGAGGGACCGTGACTTGCCCGAGGTCACTCGGCCGGTCAGCGGTGCCGGGATCCAGGTGCCCGGCCGGGCGAGGCGGGGCGCGGGTGCTACCCCCGGCTCTGCAGAGAGCCGCGGGGCGGAGCGGCGGGCGGGGCGGAAGGCGAGGGGGGTGCGGCAGCGGAGGATGGCCATCTTAAGTGGCCGCTGAGGAGCCCAGGGCCGCTTCCAGGGGGAAGGGGACATCGGAGCAGCCCGGGAGGTGGGGGTCTGCGCGCGGTAGCCGCTGTTCTGAGGAGAGGTCGGGAGCGCAGGGGATTGAGGGAACTTTCTTCTAGATGAGCAAGGGGAGGCCTGGTCTCGGACTGCTGAACCCCTCAACGCCGGGGCCTTCGTGTATGGGGGATGGTGCCAGGGAACTTGGCCGGGAAGGGGGAAGGGCTCTGCTCCGGCTGAGAGGGGCTGCCAGGGACGGTGCATGGGGATTCGAGGACACTGGACCTCGTCTAGGGGCTTGCAGGGGATTCCCTCGCGGGACTTGGACCCAGTGGAGTTTGGGGGTTCAGGTCTAAGAGGAGGCTGGATTTTAAGGGAAGTGAGGGTGATGGGGAGAGACAGGAGGGTCATGGTATCTTTCGCGGATTTTGGTAACTCGGTATTACGAGTCTGTTGGGGAGCCGAATGGACAGGACTTTGGGTGGAACCAGACGTTTGTGGGAGTTTGGGGGACATACTGCGAATATTAGGGGAAGGGATTCGGGATCCCGAAGTGTCGGGGCGCAGGATGGGGGGAACTTTGGCTTCGAAGGGGGAGTTTAGAGGCTGGATCTCCGGGTGGTGATGGCGGAGCAGGATCATTGTGGGGTTTGGGAGGCTGGCTACCCCTGGGGTTTGGGGGGGGTCTCAGGTCCTGCGGGAATGCTGAGGATAACTTCCCCGCGGGGAAGAGGGTGGGGGCAGGGGCGGGGACGGGCTGTGGGCCGAGTGGTGGGGGTGGGGGCCGGCCGCCCGGCACTGTGCTCCGCTCCTCGCCCGTCCCCCGTCGCCTCTGAACAAACTTTTCTTTCTCTTCAAGTTGAGGCCAGCGCTGCTGGCGGCGGCGGCGGCTGCGCGGCAAACCAGGCAGCAAGCGCGGCGGAGCGCGGAGTCCCGATCCCCGGCTCGGTCCCTCCCGCGGATCGTCAGGTCCGGGACCCGACCTCGGGACCCGGGGCCGGCCCCAGCCTCAGCCCCAAGCGTCCCGGGGCGGATGGCGCGCGGCGGTGGGGGCGGGCGGCGCTGAGCCCGCGCGGGCCATGGCCTCGGCGTGCGGAGCGCCGGGCCCGGGGGGTGCCGGGCCGGGGTCTGCTCTGGGCAGCCCAGCACCCGCCTGGTACCACCGCGACTTGAGCCGCGCCGCCGCCGAGGAGCTGCTGGCCCGGGCAGGCCGCGATGGCAGCTTCCTGGTCCGAGATAGCGAGAGCGTGGCGGGAGCCTTCGCGCTCTGCGTCCTGTGAGTGGGGCTGGGAATCCCGTCGGGCGGGGGCAAGGCCCGGGCTTCCTTGAGTGTGTGGGGAGGGCCTAGGACAGTGGGACGCCAGCGCCCCCCAGAGTGGGGGCTTTGGCTTTCTGCTGGGCTTGAGGAAGGATGCTGGGAGCAAAGGGCTTCTTCCTTCCTGCTTTGTGTCTGGGGCCACTTTCTGGAGCATTGAGAGCAGAGTGTGTGGGGTCCTGCTGCCCAGGGTGGCTGTAATTGGGGAAAATGCAGGGAGTCTCTGGCAGGCCCCCTGAGGCACCCTCCCGGCAGGGGTGAGAATGTGCATTCCACGATTATGTGCACTTCTGTTTATACACGGATTGGGTGTCTGAGTGGGAGTTGGGGCCAGAGGAACTGGTGGGGTGTGTGGGGGTGCTCAGCGGCTTCCTTGGGGGGCCTTTCTGTGCCCCCAGGACTGAGGTTGGGGTCTGCCTGTCTGTGTATGTCTGGGGCAGGGTGGTGTTGAGAAGAAGGCGGGTGAGACTCTATGGGGCCATGTCATTTCATGAATCAGTGAGTGAGTGAGTGTGTGCCCTGGCTCTGCGATCCCACTGCCCTAGTCCTGAGCTATGGGTGCTGAGCACGGGGTGGGACTTGGCAGCTCTCTGAGTGGGCCTGGTCTTGTGCTTGTACCCATCAGCCGGATGTGGCAGTGGTATTGGGTGAGTGTGCACTTTCAGTTTTGGAGTCTTCTCCCTGAGCTACCCCCCTAGCCCTGAGATCTGATACTAGGTGGGCTCCTGTACGCCTCTGGAGTGGGAGGCAGTAAGTGGGGAGGTGTGGGTCTACTTTCTTTAGATCCAGTTATGTTCCTCCTTAGCCCTGGAAGGCCTCCGGAACCCCTATTCCTATGTCTGTTCCCTCTATTCTCCTCACATCTTTGGGAATACACCATCCTAGGCCAGTGGTTCCCAGTTGGGATTGATTTTACCACTCAGGGGACATTTGGCAGTGCCTGGAGACATTTTTCATTGTCACGCCCGGGATTGTGCTCTTGGCTTCTAGTGGGTAGAAGCCAGGGATGCTGCTAAACATCCTACAATGCACAGGACAGTCCTGAGAATGAAGAATTATGTGGTCCAAAATGTCAGTGGTGCTCAGGTTGAGAAACCCTGGCCTAGGCAGTGGACCTGAAGAGGAAGGGGTCCCCTAAGTCTCAGCTTCTGTCCCAAGTCTGACAAGGGACAGCCGGGGCAGATGGATATCCTAGAGTTCTGCGTCTCAGCCCCCTCTGAGGCGTACCCCCTAATTAGGGAGGGGAGGGAGGCAGGTGTTGGGTCAGCTGTTGAGTGGGAGGGGGACAGCTGGGCCTGTGTCTGGATGAGCAACATTATTGTCTCAGGAGGGAAAAATCCTTGTTCCATTGCCAGGGGAGGGGATAGATGGGGTGAGGGTCTATCTGGGTGTGGAGGCTTCAGCTTTACCAACTGATTCTGGCTGCTTCCTGCATCTTAGGAGCCTGAGGGTGGGTGATCAGAACTTACTTGCTTACCTGTGTATGACACCAAATGCACAGGGAAACATTGAGGACACATCCCTGCCCAACAGGTGAAGACAATTCAACCAGCAGACCAGGATACAGGCCCTGGCTTCTGTCCTGACTTAAATCCCAGCTCTGCCTTTTACTTGCTCTGTGACCTTAGGCAAATCACTTTTCTTCTTTGAGCCTCAGTTTCCTCTTCTGGAGAATAGAGATAAAAATATCTGCCTTAAAATGTGAAGATTAAATGAGATCATGCCTGTAGGATGCTGAGTACATAGCCTGTCACTGAGACAGGGCTCAGTTAATGGGATGCTACTACTGTTAAAAACAGACCCACAGTCCACAAATCAGGACACCCAGTCACACATGGACACCTGTGCCCAGTCAGTGGCCGGGAGAGAGTCCCTGAAGGGGGCTTACCTGAGGGGAGAGGATGGCCCTGTGGCTGAGGTGTAGTCTCCTCAAATAAGCATTTGGTCCTCTTTGGTGCCAATACCCATCTCCTGCCCAGCACACACAAGCCCAGGTGGTGCCCTTGGGCAAGCCTGCCCTGAGGTGTGACTGCAGAGGGATCCTCCACCCACACTGAGTGCAGCCTGTACCATCCAGGCCAGGCTCAGCTGTCACCTGCTCAGCTGTTGCTGCCATCTGTCAGCACCCCTCTTGCCCCTCAGCTTGGGGCTCCCAGAGGCCCAGGTCTCCCATAGGAGGCCCCCTTGGATTGTCCCAATTTCTTGGTGCCTGGGGTGGGGGGGAAGCCCTAGGATGATATCTCTACACCCCCCAGCAAAACTGCCCCAGACAAACCCAACTCCAGCAGAGTCAGACACCAACGTAAACACAGGCAGCAGGCACACACGTGTTAGCACATCACCATGTATGCAGACAGGGTTTACCCAGGCTGCTGAGGACTCTTAACTCTGGCGGGGGGCCCAGACTGGTACCACAGCCCAGAGGGGCTGTTTAGACAGCTGTGGAGGCCACAAAAGAGCTGCCTGTTGCTTCCCAGGGCCTGCAGTGGGTGTGGAGCCTATGCAGGTCTGGGTTGGGGGAGCAAGGGTTGGTCATTCCTGCTCTGTTGGCACTAGCAGGCTAGAGTGGACTGGCCCCAACATTAACCCTATATAGCCTGGGCAAATGGTTCTAGGGAAACCAAGCTGAGGCCTGGGGGCTAAGCCTTTGGCAGGAGGAAGGGGTACCTTAGGGCTTAGACCCCAGCCTGGGGGTGACAGATTCTGACTTTCCACCTTACTGTCAGGTATCAGAAGCATGTGCACACATATCGAATTCTACCTGATGGAGAAGATTTCCTGGCCGTGCAGGTAGGAGCTTGGACCCTGACTCCTGACCTTAATTCCAGCCTAAGGTTTGGGACCTGCCGGCTGACTCTTCTTCCACTCTGGCTGGCCCGCAGACCTCACAGGGTGTGCCTGTGCGCCGCTTCCAGACCCTGGGGGAGCTCATCGGCCTGTATGCCCAG